GAGTTTGGTTTTGGCTCTACTAGGGCATAATATTTGGCTCCATTATGGATAGATTGAAGCTTCCAAACACCTAAGGTAAGATTATGGTGCTTTCTTCTTACCTTCCCTCTCTCATTTATGATTATTTATGGTAGGGTTTGAGTTGGGAGATGGATTTTCAGTCCATAGGAGTATAAGTCCGATTCTATTGGTTAAAATGAGATTAATAGTAGTGATTTAATGTATTGAAACGCCACATTGATGATTTTGGAAGTGATTGATCTATATGAGCACTTAATATCCAAAAAATGGTATTTATGAGATAGTTGGGAGAGGTTAATGTGCATTAATAATGGGTTAAGGTGTTATTAATGATAATGTGCGTTAGTGGAATCTAATGAGCCCATTGAGTATGAATGGGTAGTGATTATGAGTTGCTAAATAGAGTATGAGGAGTTTTTATATTGATAGAGCTTAAAGAGCTAGATCATGATGATATCCTTATGATTTGGTTGTAGAAAGGTTCGTCTTGGCACCTTTCGAGCTTGTTGAAGCTTGGAAAAGTTGATATAGTGAGGGGTAAACCTTTGACCTCTCAAAGGTTTGAGGTAACTAGGGAAAACTAAATTTTTATAGTTAAATGTTAATTGTGTTGTAAAATGTGATTTGTGAGTTAATTTGATAATGTATATTGGCAAATGCTTGAGTATGAAATGGTTTTGAGAAAGAAAATTTTAATTTTACTACCCTTGATGTTTTATGAAATTAATTGTGATTTATTACTATGGGTGAAGAATTACGATGAATAATGTATTAAAATGTGGACTATACGTGTTATGTGGGTTCATGTGTTGAGTAATGAATGTTGAAATGCATATTATATGTGAAATGTATATAGTGTGATCATTGGCGGGAGTTCGCTTAAGGAGAGGAGTAGATTGATTGAAATCCATGTGGTATTGGTAGTGATAGTTGGAATCGGGAACTAGCCTTGGCACTGACCGTTGGAATCGGGAGGTAACGCTTATCCTATGGTTGATTCTGGATTATCTCACTTGTTCTACGAGGGACTTGAACCTAACTAGTCTCCACTAGTTCATGAGGAGGCTAGATTATTGGTATGACACCCCATGATTATTAGTATTGAGAGAAACCGGATTACATAAGTGAGTGAGTTAACCCTGGCTTAGTCCTTGAAGGACGTAGTCACGTGATAGCCACCGGTTTTGTATCGGAGGTAATAGGAGGATATAAGGTTGACACATGATCATGCAAATAAGTTTGGCCACATGATTGTTAGTTTTGTGGTTTGGCACTTGTTAAGGGCGCATAGTTGTTATTTTTGCAACCTTAAGTTATGTTTTTAAAAACAACATGATATAGTCTTTTTGTGGCAAGCCTGGTTACATGGTTATTAGTTTTGTAAATTGTGGCCTAATACTATGTGATATATGTATTATGTGCCTATTTGTATCTATTTACAATTAATATGTAACTGTAAGGGTTAAGTGAAAACTGATTACTAAGTGGTTGTACTTACCCCTCAAATTCTCAATATTTTCAGGGACTAGCTCATTAGATCCAAGTCGGGAAAAACACACAGAGACTTAAGATTTATGGAGTAAATCCTCTTTATGTCTCTCTCTAATTGTTTACATGTGTAATTGTTAATATATTTGCTAATTAGGAATAATTGTCATGTTTGATGTACTACTTGCATAATTTTTATATTTAACTGGTGTATTTTGTACCCTGATCAATGAGTTGTGAACCCGAGGATAGGGCCAAAAAACTTATATAAGTAGGAACATGTGTATTTTTGAGAAATATGAATGAAATGGTTAATTTTGTACAACTTTTCCTCCCCCTCTGTATTTTATGAAAATTGGGGTTGAAAGGTGATTTTGTGAAACAGGCATTTTTAGTTGTGTGTGTTGTGTTGCACGAGTTTGCAAGAGGCTATTGAGTGTGGTCGGAGGGTTGGTGTAGGCTATTGACACGTGTGATTGAATTGGGACACTTCATTTGGGAAATTTGTGAAAATGTGTCAAAATAGGTTATGGTGTCCAACTTTTGATAGAAAATGAATTTAAGTGTGAAATCAGTGTCATTAATTAGAGCTAGGAGAAAGCTCCGTGTAAACACCAAAACCACCTCAATCGGACATTGGATGGAGATTTAGGACGCGTCGAAAGTTTGCTTCCTATGCTGTCAAATGACAGCACTGATCTGTCAAATTTCATGCAATGTGCCACGGCACATGGCACAAAGGAGACACACCGCAGTGCATGAATCGTAAGCCATGGCACATGTATCAAATTTTGTGTAAAAATCTGTTTTGAGTTTTAAAACTCATTATTTGGGTCTCAATTGATTTCCAAGCTTCTGCTTTATTTTCAAAACTCTAATTTAGAGTTCTTAAATTATATTTGAGATTTGAAATGAAAAATTGGGATTCCTTGAAATAGATTTTGAAAAATTCTTTTATAAACCCTATAGTTTGATAATTCTTGTGAGTTGAGCCCTAAATTACCATAATTTGGAGTTAATTATGATTTAACCTTAGGGAGGTTACAATTTGATCCCTACATTATTCTTGGCCTCCCTTTATACTTTCATTGGAGTAAGGTCAACTCTACTTTGCCTTGCCTCGATTGCACTTTCTCTTTGCTTCGGAGGCGCAGTTCCCACTCTCTTAGAAAAACTCTGCGGCCAAGACTTCCTCTTACTAAGTCTAACGGTCAACTACATTTAGGTTTTTCGGAAAACTCTTACTACTTGCAATAGCTCTTTTATTAAACTGATCAAAACATTGATTTGATAATTTATCAGTTCAATTGAAAGGGTTGACAAGGATTTTCATATTATGATATCCTATACTTTTGATTGGTATAATATTTTTGGACTATCAATTTTTAAATAATAAAAAGGACCCAAGTATCATTGCAACATAATATTCTAGGTTAAATTATATTAAATGCCTTTAAGTTACAGTTCGGGCTAGTCCATGTTGCCCAGTGCAAGTATAAACAAGTCTATATTTACTTATAATTAAGCTCGTGTAAGTTAATGCATGGACACATGCCTGACTTGTCCACAGCTAAAATAAGGGAAATTTTGAACTTTGCTCGAGGTAAAGTTAGTTTTGCACCCAAGCAACTTTAGGTAAGGCATATAGTCTAAATATAGAAGTGCAAACTATTTCTCATCATTCATAGTGTGTTGATAGGTTTTTCTTCTAACTTGAAAATTGATAACCTAAACATATTGTGGTAATGAAAAATTATGATACTAATTGTTCATTCAAAAAGATTTTTAAGGTCAAATTGCACTTTAATCCTTCAATTAACAATTAAAGTGGGTCAAAATGTTATTATAGGGAAAAAATGCACTATTCTTAAAACTTTCAGGATAATATGGTGTTAATTAAGAGTTAAAGATATTAACTGCACTTGAGAAAAAATTTTCAGGATAAATTTGTCTTTTTACCCTAAGATTTAATCAACATGATCAAGATCCTAAACAAAATTTAGTCACTTTTTTTTGTTGTGTGCAACATTCGCCAACCTTCCTAATTCAACTTTGCAACCCTTCATCCTCGACCTTTGATGCCCCCAGGCAATCAAATATCAAGCATGATGGAGGTGATTATACCGGCAATGTAAAATGGTTAATTAGTTTAACTTTCATGAATGTAAAATCGTTTGATGTGGACAAATCTTGAGCATGCAAAAGGATTTGAAGAGTCTTGCACTTATCTAAAATGAGTTTTCTAATAATTATAATTTTTATACTACTATTAAGAAGGTCAAGGATCTCATCCTATTAAGATTAGATAATCACTTTCGATCATATTTAAAATAAATGTGTTGACTATCTTGTTCCATAAACTTCTCTTAAGAATCTTGATATTATGATTTTTAACGATCCACACCATTGTTGCAAAGATTTTTTAAGCGCTAATATATTCTAACTTAGTCACTTTCCTTGTTAGTGGTGATGTTAGCTATGGTCTGTACTTGAAAAAGGAATTGGAGAGGAACGTATAACAAAATCATGTTTGGTACAATTAAACCAAATTCCACGGGAAGATTCAATCAGAACGTCTAGCCACATAACTTTGCTGATTCCATAAAAAGCAACTATTATGGACATTTCTACCCCCACCCTATATAACATTATGCCAATTTTATCCCTACAAGCTTAAGAGCCCTAATGAAACCCCCTCATCTTACAACTACTCAACTCACTACCAGCGAGCTGCTTGTGCCAAACCATAAGACGTGAACGAGGCATGTTGTGAAATGTAAAATCAAAATAACAATTCATCTACTTTAGGATAAATGATTCAAATTCATCGTAATATAATGAAATTGAGAACAGTAACTTTTTGTATTTATCAAATTCAACTAAACTTTCTAAATCCTTGTTTACTAATATCTCTAAAAAGATCCGTTTTTAATACTCCATGTTTCATTTTGACTTTGCTATGATTGACTTTAATCTAATTTGATCATATTTGAATTATACCAAAAATTCAAAACTTTGATATTTTGCATTTTGAATTCACAAACTCTGCCAAAATTCAAAACTTTGAATACTCTTTTAATTTCTTTTTACTTTCAACCATAATTTAGATCACTAGTTGTCTCTCTCTTTTTTGTATCTCCTAAGAAGAGGTAAAAACATGTTATAATCAATCTAGAGCTTTAAAAATTCAGATCTAAAAGTAATTATTAGATAATAATTTCCCAATCATTTAATTGATTAATTATATTTAGATTTATTATTTAATAATTTATTATTAATGTATTTAATTAATAAATTTGAATGTAATCGTCTCGCCAATTTTTTTTTTGAAGGTAAAAATATCCCAAATTGTTAGTACTGCTTTAAAAAAGGGCCGTCTAGGCTTTTTCTCATTTACTTTTCTATGGGCTTAAAGCCCAAACCAAATAAGCCCATGTAGGAATATACTGCGCAATTAAGAAGATTCCTTTTGTATTCTGTTATCCGTCGGAAAAAAACCCTAGCCTCCCTCTCCCTCTCACTCTCGCCCTCTCTGGCCATTAAGCAAAATCCCTAGCTTCAAACACGCTTCTTTCTCTACTCGCTGCTTCCTCAAATTATTGATCAGTTTTGCTAGGGTTTGTAATTTTGAAGAAGCGCCATGAGGAGGAGGAAGGAGAGGCAGAGAGCTAAGGTTGAGGACGAAGAGGATCTTGAAAACGACAAGATGGCTGCGTCGTCTTTGGTCATTTTGAGCAGTGACGATGAAGAAGCGAACGAGGATCTGACTCTCAAGATCGAGGAGAAGGCCCAACGTATGCGTGAGGCGAAGCTGCTCCAGAACGGTGTCGTAGTATTGCACGGTGACGGTGACGGTGACTGTGGTGGTGATGTCGGTCTGGAAAATGAAGTGATTGAGATGAAGAATAAGAAAAAGAATGTTGAGAAAATTGAATCCGGGTATCAAATTGTGAGTATTATTCCGTGTTAGTTATTATTTTTCTATAAAGCGATTGTGGTTTTTTTTTTTTCCCGTGCAATTGTGGTGTAATTGGAAGTGCTGACACACTCAAATGAAAATTTCCCATTCAATCAGAATTGGCATCAAGAGTAATGGGACTGAAATGATGAAGTATATCTAACTGCATTAGAGCCTGTAATTCCACTGAATGATACAGGGGCTTTTCATTGATTTTTTTTGCTTTTTCATTCAAATTTAATCTAATGTTTTCCTCTTGTTTAATTAGGCTATTACATCAGAAGAGCAAGAGAGAAGCGAAGCGATCAAAGCCAGTGAAACAAATGAGTCTCCTGAAGCAAGTGCGGTTCAGATGAGTGACAATAGTGTTCTACGAAAGCTGCTTGTGAGTTTGAACTACCCTTTCTAAACTGTGAATTTGAAAATAATATCATACACGAAGGTTTAGTTCGGCATGCCTTTCCTTGTGTCTATTCTATCAGCGGGGCCCGAGGTATTTTGATCCTCCTGATAGTAATTGGGGAACGTGTTTCAATTGTGGTGAAGGAGGTCATACTGCAGTGAACTGTAAAGCAGGGAAACGCAAGAAACCATGCTTTGTATGTGGAAGTTTGGAGCATGCTGCAAAAAAATGCACGAAGGTATGTACTTTATTTCATCTTTTTTAAATATTATCTGTTGCCCTGTTTGATTCATCCGTTAAAACATGCAGAGGATCGGGTCTGTGTGTGAATGAGAGTGAATGCTAGTGCTTTTGTTTTTATTTGGTGTACCATAATTCCCGTTGTTTTTCTGTAGGCACGATACTGCTTCATCTGCAAGAAAAGTGGTCACCGTGCCAATGACTGTCCGGAGAAGACCACTGGTGGGTCTAAAAGTTCAGTATTCTGTTTTAAGTGTGGGAATTCGGGGCATGATATGTTTCAATGCAAGAATAGTTATTCATCGGATGATCTTAAGGTTAGTCTCTTCCATTTCACTTTGCTTTCCTTTTCCTCATTTTATTTTCCTTGCAACTTTGTGAGGGATTTTTGTTGAATTTTGAATATATTTAGTGAGCTATTTGGATGTGGAATGCTTACTTGGCAAATGTTATGTTTATTTTCAGGAAATACAATGTTATGTTTGCAAAGCATTTGGCCATTTATGTTGTGTTGATTCCGATGATGGTCCGAAATGGGAAGTTTCTTGTTACAAATGTGGTCAATTAGGCCATACTGGCTTGGTAAGTTTTATTTAATAATCTGGCCTTTGATGGGTTTAGCCTTTTGTTTTAGTATAATATAGAGACCCAAGGAATTTTCTTTTGATATTTTATTCTTGTGACATTTTTATACGTAGCATGTTTTACGCACATAACAAATCGTTTTATAAGTAAATTTGATCCAGACTTTCATGTCAATTTGGAAAATTTAACGAGCTATCCAATGTTCCTCATTTATGAGATGAGTAGTTTTTACAAGTATTTAATGCATTCTGTTGTCTTTACCTACTCAAGTCATGTAAGTGCGTTATTATCTATCACTGTCATCCTATACTATCTAAATTATCATACCATGCATGTAATTTATGCTGCTATTACTTTCAGTTCTGATTAGATTAGATGTTGGGTATTCTGCACAGTGCATGTTGTATTAAGTTGAAGAAATTTGTTTTTAAAAACCTTGTGATTCAGAAGTGCATGTTTTATTAAATAATATCACAAATGAGTGAGAATCAATAATGCAGGCATGTTCAAGGTTACGTGAAGAGACAACTGGTGCAACCACACCTAGTTCGTGCTTCAAGTGTGGTGAAGTAGGACATTTTGCTCGGGAATGTACCAGTTCTATGAAGGTACCATCGGAAGAGACCACTAATGCAGGCACACCTAGTTCATGCTTTGCATGTGGTGAAGAAGGACATTTTGCACGTGAATGTACAAGTTCATCCAAGGTACTGTTGGGATATGTATTTCAGTTATCAGCGCTATTATAGAGATAGATTTTAAGTTTTTAATATATTCCGTTTATTAAGGTTTTTATGTTTCTATTTAGGATAAATACCACAATTTTACCTCCATTTCTATTGGAGACATGCAAGAAGTAGTTTCATGCTCTTTACTTGACCTCTTTTCAGGCAAGGAAGAAGAATCGCCAATTATTGATGTCTCCAAGATCTCGCAAGGAGAAAGATTTCAAGGAATATGGGTCTGCACCTCCTGATATGGGTAAGGCTCATAAAAGGAAAAAGATTCGCAATGAAGATATCGCTGTAAGCACTTCTCGAAAATCAAGGCGTCTGGGTGATTGGATGAATGGTGCCCTTGAAGAGTTTCCTTCAAAGTTCAAAGAAAGAGGTGTAATCACTCCCAAGAAATCAAAACGGAGAGGTGGTTGGATGAACGAGGATCCAGGAGACTATGCCTCGCCAAAGTCTAATGGAAAATGGAAGCCTAGAGGTGGTTGGATAACTGAAGATCCTGAAGAACACTATCCTAGAAAGTTCAACAACAGATGGATGACTCCTCCTGCAACACCTCCTAGGTGGAAGTCATCCAATCATGCTGGATCCTCAGGATCAAATACTTTTCAGCCAAGGTGGAACTGGAAATCATTCAACCATGCTGGATCCTCAGGATCAAAAGGATCAACCACTCCTTATCAGCCTAGATTTTCGTCATCGAGGTTTGACAGCACTGGCACCAATCCACGTCCACCACCAAGGTATGACCGGGGGTACTTTCCATAATTTTGTAACCTGGATATATCCCTGTTTGTCATATTACCTTACAAAAGCATTTGCAAGTTGGAAGTTAATCAATTATATTATTTTTTAAAATTTTATTCTTCTTTTGATACCATCCTTTTCCTTTGGGTTTGGCCTTTTATTCGTCGATCCCCCTAAACGTTCGTTCTATTTACTTGTGTATGTAAATATGTTGCACAACCTTTTATTAAACGGGGATTGAGAATTGTTACAGTCGTCTTTAAGTGGATGGACAACATCATGGCCGTGCTTTTGGTCATGCTCAAGGTTTGGAAAATTGGGTTGGACCGGTTGGTTTAACAAAAAATGGTCAATTATGCCTAATTTGGTCCGGGGAATGAGATGAACCGGCATAAACGAGATCCAGCGAAGCTGGCTGGGTTGACAGTACGCTTTTGCAATTTAAGAATCTTACAGTATCATTTATTTTATTCAAGGGCTTCAAACTATTGAAATTTAAATGAAAGATTATGACATTTCGTAATTAAACTAGGGATAGTAAAAAAATTTGTCTTAAGATTGTTTCAATTATTAATTTCATTAATTAAATTCAATTTTTTTATTATTTCAGTCCCTTACGTTTTCAAGTTATCACATTAGTTTGATGTGTAAGTTATGTTATTTGTTAACTTGACATACATATACATATACACACACACACTAAATGTGAACAAATATATTTTACAATTATTCTTATTTTCTTGTTTTCTTTAATTTTCACACGTCATCCAATAAGCTTGAACAAAAAGGCATTAAGTTGGTAATAATTGAAAATAAGACTACAGAAAGGTTATAAGGTTCTTATTGAATACATGTAACTAATGAAAAACACTAACATCAATTTGAAGTTTGCATTTTAGACCTTGACTAACTTGTTGCTAACAGAAAATACTGCTACTGAAAGTGTACGACGGGGATATGAAGGGTCCGTTTGAATTTTAATTGGGTATAATAGATTATGAAAATAATTGAGTAAGTAGTAAATTTTAATAATAATTGATTATGTTATAACGTAATTTGTTTAAATATTGTTTTTTTAAAATTGATTTTAACTTCATATATGTTAGCAACTTTTTTAAAATTTTAAAATTTAAATTTTATTAAGAAAAAAAATAGAGAAGAAAAGGGAGTTTGATTTTTTTTTTTATAAAACTTTGTGCTTTTTTATAATTTTTTTTGGAGCTTTTTATGTAATTTTTCCAATACTTTTTTATTAGCATTTTTGAAAAGCTCAAAATATTAGCTTTTGGAAAAAATTGATTTTAATGGATAAAATTGATTTTTTACTTTTTCAGGTGTTTGGCTAATAAACTAAATAATTAATTTTTTGAGAATAAAATTGATTAAAGACGTATCCAAACGGGCACAAAATTTGCAGAACGGCATCAATGAAAAGCACTAACTTCACCAAGAAATTGGTTCATTGTTGGCAGAACTATTTCAAATCTCAGACCAAAAAAATCATTTTGGGTTGGTCAATAATGCCAATATGAAAATCATTAAATAGAATACTTTAATTTAAAGTTGCGGTAAAAAATTAAATAAATAACCATAGGAGGCTTATACGAGAAAGGGGAGAGACAAGGGGTCTAAAGCAATTATTTTTTAAAATTAAAGTTGTAAGTGTTAAGTTTTTTATGAAATTTAAATTTAAATTATACTTTTAAAATTTAAATTGTATTTTTAAAATTTATGATATTACAACAATAATAAATAATTTTATTTTATTTTATTAGTAGGGTTGACCGCATTTTTAAAATGTATAATATCATATCAACATATTTTATATTTATATTGCTTTAAAATTAACTATAATTTTTTCTTGACAAATTGTATTTTTAATTTAGGCAGGGATTACCAATTCTTTTTTAAAATTATTTTTTATACTTTTAACGCATACAAAGTTACAAATTAATTGTCTTTTCTTTTTTAAAAAATGAATTCATTAAAATTTTTCTTCACTCTCCTTCATACCTCTTGGACAGGGTGGATTAATACTTCCAAGTATTGCACGGATTAAAAATCTTGTTAAAATAAACTGAGAGAACATAATCTATCTTAGGTTGAAGTAATTTGATTAATGAGACGACATCGTTCACATGCCAATTAGTTGCGTTTTGCGAGTTTTGTAAAACAAAGTTGATGATTCATGTTTCTTTTTTTTAAAAAAAAAGTATTATCTTCCCATGGTATATCCTGAGCACGTGTTCGCATGCCCGCTTCCTCCAGGCTCGAGCTTTGCTTGAAGCTCGTGGCGCTAAACTTCTCTGTTAAAGCTTATCCTTCACAGCCGTAAAAGTAGAATAGAACAATCTTACTTGACAAGAAGAATCTTGTCTGTCCTTTGCGAGTGGGAGGACGGTGAGTGCTCCTTTGCAGACTTGTAATGGCATTCACGATACTAATTTAACTCCTTATTGTGATGATTCTGATTCGACGTCATTTTGGTTCTGTAAATTCTCTGTCGGTTGCTCAAAGTAGTTTTGGAGCTACTTTTGCTGCGAATTACACGCTCTGATGTTCGACTTCTTTTCTAAAATTTGAATGCCCTTGCTACGTTCAGCATATTGTAGTGAGAACGTGTCCTGATTTTTGAGCTAGATTGGTCATCTGGGAAATGCCCTATTTCTTATTTGAAAACTTATTTTTGCGTGGCCTAGATAGCTTTTTCTTAGCAGTTAGGAAGTGGATGAGCTTTCGCTTATGGGCATACAATTGCTTCAATGAATCATGATACGGATTTGGCGCTTATTGTGATGAGTCATGACTGATGTTTCGTGTCATCATTTGGTTCTATGAATTTCTTTTTGTTATCAACTTGGCAGCATTTTTCAAGCAAGGAAAGCAATTGGACTAATCTAATTAAATATTTCTTGCATGTCTTCTGTATTGGATATTCTCTAGACTGTTCTAGTGTTCTGGTTGCAGAAATTATGAAAAATGCGTTTGCATGTTTTGTAATGTGCTGCTTGTAAAATATTAATGAAAAACTGGTGGAAGTCACGAAAAACTTGTCAGAAATGTACGAGTTGTGTCCAATCCTTTGTTATCAGAAGAAAGTCCCACGCTGATAGAGTTTTTGAGAAAATGGGTAGTTTTGTTCTTGCTTCTGTTGCCAACTTGCCCCTTAGCACTTTCTTCATTTAGCAAAGTAGAACTCTATAGGAGTCTTCTCAAATGCATTTGCTCCATCTTGTCATAACCTAGCTACACTGAGTTTATTTAGAAAAGAGCAAAAGGAATCTCTATTCTTTTTCTTTTTTTGGTCAATGCAACTATCTAACTGAATCAAACTCAAGTATTGTTGGGTTCAATTAGGGTAGCTTTCCCAAAGGCATTTTTTGTATTTACATGGACTCAAACCTGAGACCTTGTATTTAAGTAGTCATAGTTTATTCTACTAGGAAAAATGCTTGTTCGTAAAAAAGATCTCTATCCTAACGCTGTTAAAATTAGCTTTTCAAGTATTGCAGTTGTGTTGATCACAATTCGAAACACCAACTAGGTATATGCATACTCATTCATTACTCTTCTAATTAAACAAATTAAGCAGTAATGGTACACACTTTCTGAATTCTGGGTTGAAAAACTATTGAAGGTGGCTAATTTATGTGCTATCTTCTTGCAGGATTTGGAAAATTAAAGGATTTGGTCATAAAGAATTATGGCATTATCCCTTTCTTCTTTCACCATCACAAAGCCATTCTCAGAGCTTTCATCAACTCTACAGCATAACAGCTTAAATTATGGAAATCAGAGACCAAATGCAGTTTCGATAAGGTGTGAATCTTCAGAAGACCAATTATCAGCTGGAAACGATGTGGCAGCAAAAGGTTCAAAGAAGTTGCAGATAGGGTCTCCCATTATTGTTATAGAGGCTCCCAAGGTGATAAAGACTGCAGCTTCTGTTCCTTGTTTAAGGGCTAATTCTGGCTTGGTCAAGCCTGGTGATGTTGGAAGGTATTCTCAACTCTTCCTCTTCTAATTTGGATCTCATGTAATTTGCACACCTCATATTGGGACTTAATTTGGATTGGATGGCTCAAATTTTACAATTTTTTTAATTAAATTTTAATGTTTTAAGTTTTAACATTACATGACACAAAATAAAATAACATCAATTTTTTTATCTTTCAGCTCATACGAAATTTTTTTTTTTAGATGAGATTGGACACAAAAAAAAGGGAGAGGTTTTTTTAATTGTTGAAATTAAATCTGTATTTTTGATATAAGATTTGTACCTGGTGCACATTGATATATGCCAAATTCACATTCAAAGTTCAGGTATTGAGTTCCCAAGTTGTAAGATGCACTTCAAAGATTGAATTCTTTGGTAGATATATGTAATCCAAGTATTTGACACCATACCAAGTGTAATAGGAAATGACAAAATTTGGTATTGTATTTCACTCAAAGGCCGACTGGATTTTCCCACCATGCCCCTTGCTTTGTTGACTTTGATAAAATGCTACTTCTTGTGTGCTTTTTTATTCTTTTGACAAATTTCATTTGTAATACCAAGTATGGATATCATAACTCCCGCAATTTCTTTCACTTTTATTTTTGAAAATTTTGGTTACATGATTTTGTTTTATTTGATGTCCTAAATTGCCATTGATAGCATAAAATGTGTAATAATACCATACTCAAACATTAATTAGTGATCAACATTTAATAATTACTAGAGTAGGTTTTGTGCAACGCATGGAGCCTAAAAAATGAGTTGTATGAATATGAATTGTATTACATGTTATATTTTATTTTATTTATGGATATATAGATGAGTTCAGAGAGATTAATACAGCATCCAGGAGATGACATTTTAAACTGTAACATTTGATTTTACTGTTTACTTAGAATTATTGAGATTGTCGCTCATCTGCAGAATTGTATCAAGGAAACCCAAAGATGTGTGGGCAGTGAGGCTCAGCGTTGGAACCTATCTCCTAGATGGGAAATACTTCAAGCCCTTAGACTTGGCTGAGTTTAGCTGAATCTCAGACATAAATATTGTGTGTATGTTTCATTGTATATTTTTACTTCATTGAGTTAAGTTGTTAGGCCACTTCTGTTTATCTCCTATTTTGAACAATGTTTGTGAAGTATAAGAAATGCAAGCAATAGAAATTGGTTGGCTAGTATGTATCCTGCCTGAATCAAGTCCGATTGCCATTTTTTTGGGCACATTACTCATGCAACAATGATGCAAGATTAATGAGTAGGTTTTGTTGAAAACAAAGATTATCTTCCTTTAGATACTGAAAGTAAATAGTAGATTTTTTCTAATTAAATTGCTATATACATAAAGGGTGAGATTTGAAATGTGAGATTAATATTTATCTCTGGTTGTATATGGCAAAAATTTGAATGTATTGTTTAAATTGTTTATGCTTCAGCATTATTTATTATTATTATTATTATTATTATTATTATTATTATTATTTTTAGTGAACTAAATATGGGTTCAACCTAGTTCAGTCCTTTAATATAATAAAATATTTCAATTTTTTTATGAACAGACCAAAATTGTTAATGAGAAAGGAAGCTAGTGTATTTTAAATTAAGAGAGGAAAACAATTTATCGAATTATTGATAACATTTTTTAAATCAATTAATAAATCATCATGTTGAATTTGAAAAATAAAAAAATAATTCACGTGTTATCATTTCCCAATTTTGTGCGAAAACAAAATATTGAAAGGTTTTTCAATTTTTGCCGCCTTCTTCATCCTTCCTCTAGTCTTCCTTCGTATCCTTTGTGCTCTCACTGGGGAAAGAGGTTACTTGAAATTAGGGTCACACATAGAGTTGGTAAACAGGCGGGCCTAGCCTATATGAGCTCGGCCCTTATGAGCCTAGATCCTAAAGCCCGATTATTTTAATTTTACCCTAAAATTGAAGCCCGGCCCTCATTCAAAAGGCTGAGGGCTGGGCCCGTAAGCCCGGATAAGAATAAAATAAAATAAAATAAAATTCAACATTAAAATTTATTTAGAATATTTTAAAATTTAACATATATCAAACCAAAGTCTTACATAATTTAAAAAATAAATAAAAAATTTAAAAGTTCAAATAAGATGAAGGCAAACATCATTATCAATCCTAATCAAGATCTCTCTCATTATCATCCATAAATAAAATATTAAAACCCTCAGATGTTAGTCCACTTGTGGAAGATGGAGGCGGAGGCTCAATATCAATTATTTCTGCAACTTCTTCATCATCACCTACAATAATTATTAATTAAATTGTTTTATTATCAAATATATATCTTTACATATATCACAAGATAAAATATAAAAATTATCATAAAATGGCACAAAACTATTCAACCAATTGTGGGTACAAATCAATGTTTGCACATTATCTGAAAAGAGGTAAAAACAATACTTTGTGAATAGTAAAACGGGCTTCACGGGCCACTCGGGCCCGAGCCCTTTTTTAGGGCTTAAAAGGGCCGGGCCTCAAAGCCCGATTATCTCAAAAAATATCAAATTTTCAAGCCCGAACCCTTATTAAAACGGGCTTAAACGGGCGGCCCGTCAAGCCCGGCTCTTATTCCTGACTCTAGTCACACATGGGTTTGATCAGGTCGATATCATCCCAGCCTGGTACCCAAGTGTTCGGATTGGATTTGGTCTAATTGACCTAAAAAATTTTATAAATAATTTTTTTGAAAAATATATTAAAAAATTTCTTTCAAAAAAATATAATAATTATTATTATTTAAAAAACATAACTTTAGATCCCTAAACTTTGCTCGAGTTTTGTTATAGGTTCCTACACTTTTTTTAGTATTCTAAATCCCCATACTTTTGTTTTTGGTGTTCTAGGTCCCTATATCAAAACTTAAGTAAAATGTAGGGATTTAAAGTTATATTTTTCCTTTTAAAATATATTCTTTATAAAACTTATATTAGAATCAAAGGTAATGTTTTTTAAAAATTACATATGATCAATCACTATCAATTATTTTTACATAATATTAAGTTAAAAGCAAATTTTAAGTGTTGAGTTGAAAGATATTAAAAAAATTGCAATGATAGCATTTCAAAAGATCATAAAAATAATATAGTTCATGATAACTCTTAAAAAAGGGACATGCTTGGGTCAAGTAGTGCAGGGTTTGACACCTAGCTCGATGTGCCCAAATACTTGGCTCGACAGAGGCAAGTTGACCAAGCTTTTCTAATAATGTTGGCAACTCTACTAAGATAACAAACTTGCTTAAAAGAAGTTAGTTTTTTTTCAAAAAAAAAATGAAGCTAGTTTTAGGCTTGTTTATTTTCTTTTAATGGAAAAATTAATCCTCAGGTCCTTATAATTTTACTTGATTTTGAATTGGGTATCTGTACTTTAATTTATTTTGACCAAGCTCTTATAATTTAATTGATTAAATATATTAGTCCTTGGTTGTTAAAATCCTTTAATTTTTCATTTTAAAAAATGAAATTGAGGACTTTTATATGTTAATTAAAACATTATATAATTTTAGGATTAATTACATAATTTTTATAATTCAAAATTTATATAATTAGATCATGTCTTCTAAATAACTTTTATACAAGTGAAATTTTCATTAAAAATTTATTAAAATATAAACATTTTATTAAATAATTTTTTGTGTAAAAGTATTAAATCAAATATTCTATAAATTTTAAAAGTATTTTTATTTTGAAAAAGTTAATCATTTATCCAAAATTTTAACTTTCAAGGGACTAACATATTTAATTGATCAAGCTGTAAAGTTTTGATTAAAATAAAATAAACTATATGAATTTAATTTAAAATTGAGAAAAACTAAAATGACTTACAGATTAATTTTCCTTTTTTAATTTTGATACAAATTTTTGTTTAAAAATAATAATAATTCATTTTAACATGATTTTATTTATTCTAAAAAATAAAAATAAAATTTTCTATGAAAAATTAAAAAATCAGAATATTTTTTATGTTTTTTATTTTTTCTTATGCAAAATTTAAATTAAAGAAAAGGTAGAAGATAACTAATTTTTATTAATGATTATAATACCACGTTAAATATAGTATTGGGAGAAGAACATTAATAAAAGAAAAGATAAATTTTCATTAATCATCTACACATGATAATGAGAATCAAACCCAATTAGCATGATTTATAAAACAACATAACTCTATCTTGAGGGTGAACCAATCCCAAACAATGAAAATTAACCATAAAGTAAGAGCCAAATTTGGTGGAGAATTGACCTAATTCTAAAATTTTCATCATTGTGGAGGATTGAAATGGTACTTTTCAATGATTATCTACGCCCTCCCTTTCATGAGGGTGAGCGACTAATTAAACTACCCCACTTTTCGCATGTCTTTCACGAAGGAGAAGTTGCTACTTGGTTTGAATGAAAGAAAAGGAAAACTTGTCTCTAATACCATGTTAAGTATGGTATAAAGAGAAAGTTGTTAGTAAGGAAAAGATAAACTTTCATTAATCATCTATGAATGACAATGATAATCAAACCCAACTAGTGTGATTTACAAAAACAGCATAACCCTATTTGTGGACAAACCAACCCTAAACAATGGGGACTAACCATGAGATAGGGACCAAGTTTGATGGAAAATTGAGTTGATTTTGAAATTTCTGCCACTACCTTGGAGGACTAAAATAGTACTTTATAAAGATTATCCACATCATGTCTATGTTTTTTGTTCATGTTGCAAGAAGAGATGTCCTTTAACACCCAAGTGTGAATGATGCAAATCACCCTTCAATTTATTTGATTCAATCGAAACACTTTGAACCCACAATAACAAAATCTTCAAGGTGGATCCAACCATTCTAAGAGATAATCTTGATTCCATTTGTCCGATATGTCGTCATCTTTTTCAAGAGGGTGAGAGACTAATGGGACTTCCCTATTGTTCACATGCCTTTCACTAAGGAGAAATCAATACTTGGTTTGCATGAAAGGAAAGGTAAACATGGATTTAATATCATGTTAATTACAGTACGAAGAGAAGAGTATTAATACGGAAATGATAAACTTTCATTAATCATTTACAAATGACAATAAGAATCAAACCCAACTAGCATGATTTGAAAGCCCACATAACCTTATGTTGAGGGTGAACCAACCCCAAACAATAGGGATTAACAATGAAGTGATGACCGAGTTAAACTTTATGCTTTTTAATTCAAAGTTGTGTCCTTTATAAACAAATTAGGATTGCTAACTATCAAGTGATTAACACCTAGTTACCTTTAATATTTCAAAAGGTTCTACAATTAACAACAACGTATGTGAAATTTCACAAGTCAGCAAATGGATTTTGGGCAAATGATGAACTGCAAGAAATTTACATGTTATAATTTAAATACATTGCTATCAAAATCTGAACATGTAGTTATAAATAATAGAATAACATATTGCAATCTTATGGGTCCATTGAAAAATTTTATAATTATATAAGTCCAAGCAGCAATTGTTTTGCTTTGAAATTGTGCAAAACAATATATGTTATTATTATTGATATTTACTCTTTGAAATTTTATATACATCACTCATATAGATTTTGAGTTAGTATCAAATAATGTGTTAGAATTTGTTTTCACTTTACCTTTCTAAGTCAACTTTTCATCTCTTATCCGATCCAACATAGAAAAGACTAAGGTCTATTTTAATTATTGGGTAAATGAGTAAATTATTCCTGAATTTTAGATTTAGTAGCACAATAAACCTTAAACTTATTATTATGTAAATTATTCTTTTAACTTTTGAAAATGGTATAATTTGGTTCTATTATTAACAAAACTTATCTTTGACCAGACCAAAAAGGGACCAAATTTTTTTGTAAATTTTGGATCTTTGTATGTAATTTTTGAATCATTTATTGTAATTTTTGATCCTTTTATATAATTTTTGATGTACTTCTGTGTTATATTTTGATCAATTAATAGTCAAAGATAACTTTTATTAATGGTACAAGTCATATTACATTATTTTCAAAAGTTAAAGGAATAATTGGTACAACAAATGAGTTTATAATCTATAGTGCTATTGAACATAAAATTTAGGGGATAATTTGTTAATTATATTTTAATCACTTGATTTTTTTTTTGAAGGAATGGGTATGAGAAAAAGAATGAAGACGAGAAAAAAAT